AAGAGATAATGTTTAAAATTTCAAATTTTACATTTTTTAAGGTTTAAAATTTCAAATCTCAGATTTTTTTAAATTTTATTTATAAATTAATTAATTAAACATATATTTTATTAATTAAATATATTAGTGTCATAATTCCATATAATTTGGTCACAAATTCTATATAATTGGTCACATATTATTAATTTGTCACAAATCACAAATTTTACGGTCATAATTTAAAAATACGGTCGGTCTTTAAGGATTATCTTAACATCCTAAAATTTGGAGGAAAATCATATTTTGCTCTCCGTGTGTGTGTATTATTATTATTATTATTATTATTATTATTATTATTATTATTATTTTCTAAACCATTCTAAGTGGCACGTCTCATTAATAACAAAATTAAAACATAATACAATGAAAAGAAACATAGAAATTCCGTGCTGAAGACGGAAAGTACAATGAAAATAATATAGCCATACTTCATGCGCCTTAACATTTACTAAAAATTAGGAGTTTATTAAAAATTATTGAATATTTGTATAAATCCATTAATTTTTATGTCTAAACTTCTTTTCGTGAATTGACAATTTTGTTACGTATTTCCTAGTAGTCAACAGAAGATGAGAAAACTATTTGTTGATTCAAACGTTTCATACCCTACTTGGTATCTATTAAAATTCATATTTTAATTTAAGTTAAAGTCAACAATTAATTGTAACAATATATTTCATAGGTTCCACAAATTCTATATAATTGGTTACATATTATTAATTTGTCACAAATCACAAATTTTACACGTCACAAATCACAAATTTTACGTCCATAAATCAAAAATTTTATAGGTCACAATTTGTTCATCGGTCACAAACAAAAAATTGAAACGTCACAAATTATTTTACGGTCACAATTAAAATTTTTTATATATCCCAATTTGTTCATCGATCACAAATTGCAAATTTTACATGTCATAATTCAAAAAATTTATAGGTCACAATTTGTTCATCAGTCACAAATAAAAAATTGAAACGTCACAAATTATTTTACGGTCACAATTCAAAAATTTTATACGTCATAATTTGTTCATCGGTCAGAAATTTTATACGTCACAAATCAAAAACTTTGTAGGTCATAAATTATTTTACAGTCACAATTCAGAAATTGTATAAGTCACAATTTGTTCATCGGTCACAAATAAAAAAATTTCTACGTCATAACTTATTCATCGGTCACAAATCACAAATATTATAAGTCACAACTTAGTAGACAATCACAAATTGTCAAATTATCTGTCACAAATTAACAATTTTTTAGGTCGCACATTTTTGTTTTGTCACAATTTATTAGTCACATATTGTTGATTGGTCACGAGTTAATCAATTTAAAGGTCACAGCCAAGCAAATCATTTGTAATCACCACCAACACATATTGTTGATTGGTCACGAGTTACCCAATTTAAAGGTCACAGCCACTTGTAACCATCACCTCACCACTATCATCAGCAGCAACGCCACCAATACCGCTACACGCCAGAACCACCACCGCCACACCCACAATATCACAGAACCCACCGCACCACCGCCCCACCCACAACATCATAGAACCACCATTGCCACACCCACAACATCGCAGTTCACCCAACCACCGTACCACTGCCACCCCCAACCCCTTCTTACCATCACAGCGCTACCGATCCGACCAAACCCCCATCATTCATGGCCAGATCGTCACTACTACAGGTCGCCACTAGATCCGGCCAAACCACCATCATTTCATGGCCAGACTACTGCCGTGAACCACATGCAAGAACCACCACTGCAACACCCATAGCATCACAGAACTCACTGCACTACCGCCCCACCCACAGCATCATAGAACCACCACTGCCACACCCACAACATCACAGAACTCACCCAACCATTGCACCACCCCCATCCCCAACCCCTTCTTACCATCGCGGCGCTATTAGCTCCGCCCAAACCACCATCATTAACGGCTAGATTGTCGCTACTGCAGATCGCCACCAGATCCGGCCAAACCCCCATCATTTCACAGCTAGACTGCTGTTGTGAACCACCAGCCGCCTGTGCACTGCCCCACCATAGGAGAGAAACTGGATATGGCGAAGATAAATACAGGAGACGAATAGTGGCACACAGTGGTGTTCCATGCTGTACACAAAGCTTGGAGGTGGTCGTTGACTGCTGCGATGGCGGAACGACAATCCATTTGTGGAGAGAGAGGGAAGTGAGAGAAAGGAGAGAGAAATAAGGTTTTTGTATAAATAAACTTAAAATCTGATTTTTGAATTGTGATCTTTAAAATTCTGATTGTATGTAATTTCCACTAAATTATATTTCATATGAAAGTCTTCAAGTCTTTTGAATTCTACAAAAGTCTCTAAAAATTTGAAAATGAAAGTTTATAAGTTTACAA